AGCTACATTGGTCCAAACTGGACCAGTGTAAATATGTATAAAATAGCTATACCTGGAATTCATCTTTACCCTCTCCTTACTTTATCCAAAATAATTAAAAAAAAGGTTTGTCTAGAGAAAACATTTAAACTGTTTGAAACCAATATGTTACAATCTGGAATTTCTTAATGCCCAATCTTCTATCAGGTTCTTCTCACTGTCTGTCCACCATTCAATCTATACACCATCTGAAGAAGTTCTCTAGAAGGGTTCTCTAAAAGTGTAAAAGTCCATTATAAGAACTTTTTATTTTTTTTTTAGTAAACTAAGGAAGAGTTAGAAATGTTGTCAGGTTCTCATAGCCTTTGGTGTCCCCTACGATTGAAAATCAAAGCCAGGATTAGGACAAAGGATCTAGGTCACCTCACTCAACCAAAAACACATTTTGGGGGCCTGAATTTTCACTTTAGGCCTCTTTCACATGGAGCAGTCTCCACTTGCTCAGCAGGGGATCTGTCCACTGATCTTCCGCTGAGCAGAGCAGGCTGATGACAGGTCTGTGTTCACTCCACTTATGCAGAGTGGACATGGACACAGCCCGCTCTGTCCGTTTACACCCGACTTCCCTCTGATCCAATCAACCAAAACAGAGCGGAACATATTCCCTTCCATTTGTTTTTAGTGGATTGGATTGGTTTGAAAGTGGGAGAGTGTAAACAGACACAAGCCTGTTTACATCCACCACTCCACAGAAGTGAATGGGGGGTCTGATCAGATCAGCCTGAAAAATGGATAGGCAGACCCAATTGGACTGATTGTGTAAAAGGGTCATAATGTGTCCGGGTGTTTACAAGCAGTTCTTTACAGATATTGGAACATTTTTCAATCTTACATGTAAGTTCATACAAAAATGGCAGCAGACAAAGTTGGCACTTTCTTTAAATAAAGACTGTTGGTTGTTCCCCATAAAGTATATTAGGATCTGAATTATTTAGTTACATTGGAGGTATTCATCACCACTTTGTGTATTTTGTAAGAGAAGAATTACACACACAGAACACACATTAACAAATAAGTAAATGAGGATGACAATTGCTCAGCTTTTTGTTTCACATGTTAATGAAGGAAAGAGCTGCCAACAGAACAGTGCATGCTGGCCAGTGCAGTGTCCTTGTGCTAAATTGACAGCTTTGGGAGTCTTTGATGCACGTCAGTGGTCTCAATAATGCAAGACACATCTGTATGGAGCACATCAGAGCAAGGAACGGATAAAACAGTCTGGCCTCCTGAAGAAACTGGGTGGAGGGGACAGCTTGTGTTCCCATCTTCCTACAGTTTACTCAATGTGCTGTTGTGCTTACAAGACACAGTAGGAGATTCAAAATGTATACAGCAATATTCATGTCACCAACATTAAAGTAGATGTAAAATCAAATATAAGCTTTAACATTTTCAAAATTTTTATATCTATGCATTGACGTTTTATGATTTTTTTATGGTAGAAAATGAAAGGAAACATATTTCAAAATATTTTCAAACACATCTGTATTAAACAGATAGAATACATAATGTTACATTGGAACAATTTACATGTATGGATATAGATATGTATCATGGTATCATTTAAAAGGGGAAAAAAAAGATTTATGGATATTTTTTAAATATTTTTAAATCTTTTAATAAAATAGTAGTTGGTGACTAACAGTGGCAGTTTCAATACACTTTGCACAGGCATTGCCCACTGCTGTCAGCAATCAAAAAAATGCTCTGAGAAACTCAATGGAGACATGACTGGGGTGTATGTAGACAGAGTTGAGGTGCAAAGAGGCAGGATTTTCAACAAAGGATGAAGAAAAGGGAAAGCAAGTATTAAAATATACAAAAATGGCAACTGTTTATGATACACAGGGGTTGATTTGCTAAAACTGGAGAGTTCAAAATCTGGTGCAGCAGTGCCAATCAGCTTCTAACTTCAGCTTTTTCATTTAAGCTTTGACAATAAAACCTGGAAGCTGATTGGTTTCTGTGCAGAGCTTCACCCAATTTTCATTCTCCAGTTTTAGTAAATCAACCCCCCAGTACTTTAGGAAACAGATTTTGGGGAAATTTACAAAAACGAAATGCACTCAGAATCTGGTGCAGCTGTGCATAGTAACCAATCAACTTCTTAATTCAGCTTGTTCCATTAAGCTTTGACAATAACACCCCGGTCACACTGAATGAGAATTGGCATGCGATTTGCATACCATGTGATTTGCAAATCGCATGCCAAGTCGTACCCTAGTGTCCGCAATTACAGCGGTCATATCAGTGCAGTTCCAACTTGGTTGGAGCTGCACCGATTTCCAAAGTAGTACATGCACTTGCAATATGGGCATTCATCCCTGGGCACATACAGTCCTATATGTTATGTCTACGTACAGTGTCCAGCTGCTGTATTTTTCAGCTTCTTATAGACTATTATAGCTTGCTGGCAGCAGGGCTGTGCCTTCCACCCACCCACCCAAAATACTAAGGAATTTCATGAACAGAGGCTAAATGCTCAATGTGCATGAGGTCTAAATAGGAACTCTTTGGAGGCACAAGTGTTTCTCTGTAGGAAGGTGGGGAAAGATGTGCACTGGAGGACATTTCAAAGTGAGTCTTAAAGGAAGCAATACTGAACAAAGTCTTCTAGCCTGTTATATTGCTTTGATGCCTGAGAACAGTCCACCAGTAAATTCAACTTAAGCTGGCCATAGATAGAGCGATTTTACTTTCCTGCAACCACGGTTCCAGTCAATGTGTTCTCCCGGCAGGGGGAGCTGTGTCCTTGCCGAGATAACACAGTGCTTACTGATAGCAGCTTTGATAGCTGCTAGCAAAAATCGCATGTAAAATCCGACAATCTTGTTGTACCCAAGTTGATCGATTGATCACCTTTGGTACATTCAGCCTGCCCATACATGGTTCAAATCTTTTCCTGGCCCTGCTAAACCATCTATGGCTTGCTTTAGACATTACGTCATCACCTGACCTAGCCCAAAACAGTTCGATTGAGAGACTGTCATCTAATGCCTAATTTAATTTAAAGCATAGTTAAAGGCATCATACAAAAACTTATGAGCAAGCAGGCTATTTATCACAAACTATAACATGCAATATCGCTTCTGCAGTAAAATACACCTATCTGCCTGCTTGTAGTTTTCTGTAGCATGTAAACTGGGCTGTACATGCATAGCTTAGTTTACATCCAGCATGGTCCCTAAGTGCGGAGATGACTGACTCCTGCACATGTGCTGGTTGGTATGTCATCCCATGTCTGCCAATGAAGATGCTCGAAGATCAATACCTGGAAGGAAATTTGGAGAAGATGCCAATGTCGGCAAGGACCCCTTACAGACTTTGGAGGAGGTAAGTATGATGAATTTAGTTCCACTTTAAAGAAAAAGAGCCGCCTGCACATTCAAGGTGAAATGACAGTGTCTTCTGAAAGATCACCCGAAATGTATTTTTTAATGATTCGCGCTACAGTGCAGTGGAGTCCACACTGAGTAAATTCTGGTGCCTGATGGGGATGTAGCTGTCAGGGCTCCCGGGTATGACCAGAGGTGTGTGACTAACGCAGGGAAACGCAGACTTCAGATATGTTATAAACGATGTAATTTATTAACACTAACAATACAAACATAAACGCAGTGCAATACTAAAACATAACACAGTGCAAACAAACCAACCACCCACAGATAACAGTACATACAATGCAAGCGTCGTCAGGCAGGCCGGGTCAATATCAATCGGGCAGGTAGGTACAGGGGGAGCAAGCGGAGAATGGTCAGGGTCACAAGCCAGGTTCAGCAGGTAGTGGGCAGCGTGGTACAGAGGGTCAGGCAGAGGAGAATGGTCAGACAAGCCAGGGATCAGGAGCAGGAGAATGGTCAGACAAGCCAGGGATCAGAGCAGGGTCAGCAGAGAATCAGACAGGAACAGGAACAGGAACAGGAAACAGGGCCCAGGAGAAACACAACACCAAGGCAGAGTCTGCAGGTCTGAATGTCCCTTAAATACACCAGTATATAATTAGTTCCAGGTGTTTGACTGGCTGCAAGGTTGAGTCTCTGATTGCTGGGAGCACACCCGCTGGCCAGCCCTGGTACTGCAGCTCATAAGGCAGGCGAGTCCCACTATTGCTGGCAAGTCCATCCCTGACAGTACCCCCCCCCCTCAAGGAGCGGCCTCAGGACGCTCCAAACAGTCCTAGCTGGGCAAAATGTTCCACCGCCCGGGTCTGGTAACTGGCGGGATATCAAAGACTGGCACACCGGGCAGGACTCCGGGCAGCGGCACACCGGGCAGAGGCACATCGGGCAGGACTCCGGGCAGAGGCACACCGGGCTGGACTCCGGGCAGAGGCACATCGGGCTGGACTCCGGGCAGAGGCACTCCGGGCAGCGGCACACCGGGCAGAGGCACTCCGGGCAGAGGCACGTCGGGCTGGACTCCAGGCAGAGGCACGTCGGGCTGGACTCCGGGCAGAGGCACGTCGGGCTGGACTCCGGGCAGAGGCACGTCGGGCTGGACTCCGGGCAGAGGCACGTCGGGCTGGATTCCGGGCAGAGGCACGCCGGGCTGGACTCCGGGCAGAGGCACGTCGGGCTGGACTCCGGGCAGAGGCACATCGGATTACCAGGCGAAGCAGCAGGCAGCGGGCCACCGGGCGGAAGCAGCAGGCACCGGGCCCCCAGGCGGAGCATCAGGCACCGGGCCCCCAGGCGAGGCGATGGGCACCGGGCCCCCCGGTGGGGCGACAGGCATCGGGCCCCCAAGCGGAGCGGCGGGCACCGGCCCCCAGGAGGGGCGACAGGCATCGGGCCCCCAGGCGGGGCGACAGGCATCGGGCCCCCCAGGCGGGGCGACAGGCATCGGGCCCCCCGACGAGGCGACAGGCATCGTGCCCCCGGCGGGGCGACAGGCATCGGGCCCCCAAGCGGAGCGGCGGGCGCCGGGCCCCCAGGAGGGGCGACAGGCATCGGGCCCCCAGGCGGGGCGACAGACATCGGGCCCCAAGTAGGGGCGACGGGCATCGGGCCCCCAGGCGGGGCGACGGGCATCGGGCCCCCAGGCGGAGCGGCGGGCGCCGGACCCCCCAGGCGGAGCGACAGGTCTCGGGCCCCCAGGCGGGAGCGGCGGGCACCGAGTCACCAGGCACGACAGTGGGCTCCGAGTCAACTGGCAAGACTGCGGGCACCGAGTCAACTGGCGGAACAGCGGCCATCGAATCAACTGGCGGAACAGCGGGCTTCGAGTCGTCTGGCAAGACTGCGGGCACCGAGTCGTCTGGCAAGACTGCGGGCACCGAGACGTCTGGCAAGACTGCGGGCACCGAGTCGTCTGGCAAGACTGCGGGCACCGAGTCGTCTGGCAAGACTGCGGGCACCGAGTCGTCTGGCAAGACTGCGGGCACCGAGTCATCTGGCAAGACTGCGGGCACCGAGTCAACTGGCGGAACAGCGGGCATCGAGTCAACTGGCGGAACAGCGGGCTTCAAGTCGTCTGGCAAGACTGCGGGCACCGAGTCGTCTGGCAAGACTGCGGGCACCGAGTCGTCTGGCAAGACTGCGAGCACCGAGTCGTCTGGCAAGACTGCGGGCACCGAGTCGTCTGGCAAGACTGCGGGCACCGAGTCGTCTGGCAAGACCGCGGGCACCGAGTCATCTGGCGGAACAGCGGGCATCGAGTCAACTGGCGGAACAGCGGGCACCGAGTTGTCTGGCAAGACTGCGGGCACCGAGTCGTCTGGCAAGACTGCGGGTACCGAGTCGTCTGGCAAGACTGCGGGCACCGAGTCGTCTGGCTGCGGGCACCTGAGGACAGCGGGCATCGGGTCACCAGGCCTAATAGGATCGTCAGGCTGGATCAGTTCATCATGCTGGGTAGAGGCATCAGGCTGAATGCAGGCATCAGGCTGAGTAGAGGCATCCAGCTGAGTAGAGGCATCAGGCTGAGTAGAGGCTTCAGGCTGAGTAGAGGCTTCAGGCTGAGTAGAGGCTTCAGGCTGAACCACGGAAGGCAGGTTCACCGGTTTGGATACTGGCAGGATGGTATTGGTTGGAAAGAATTTTCGCTTTTTCTGGTTTTAACTACTGGGGCACTGCAAGTAAACGCAGGTCTGCAAACGAATGGGAGCAGCTGGAGACAGAGAAGAGCTGGAGGATGGGACAGAGGAGGGAGCAGTTGCTACAGAGGGCTTTTTTACAGGGTTAAAGGCAGGATAGGTGCAGCGAGTGGGAACAGGGTACTGACATGCGGTAGATAGCCAAGTATACTGGACTGTAACTGGAGGAGCTGTTGGGAATGCAGGAATAGAGCTTTGAGGAGATAGATTAGAAGCAGGACTGGGTCTTTGTAAGCTGACTGAGGCTGGGTGCAACAAATCTGTCCATGTCTGCAGTATGGGTTTGAACAAAGCTCAGCTTACACAAAGCCTGTCTGACCAAAGACTGCACTGCGTTTATACAATCTCTTAGTGTCTGTGGTGAACATGTGGAATAACGCTCCAGAAAGTAACCCACATCATCCTCTAATAACCACACCAGGGACTCTACCTGGTCTGCACTAAATGGTGGCAAAAATTCATCCCTGCATTCGGGGGGGGTACCAGATGAAACCAACTCAGCACAAACCTGAATCAATGGCTGCACCTCAGAGAATTCTGTGCCCTGATCTACTAGAACATGAGCGAGCCGTATACATTCTAGCAGTTCATCCCGGGGATACTCCTTCAGAGTTTGATAAGCATACTCCCTGTCATCAAACACTAGCAGATATAAATACGCAACCTCATCCAGATCCATCCTTCCCATCAACAAACCAAGATGGCTTCCCTGTGCAGCCACTTCTGGTCAGGATTGGCCTTGGTGTAATGTCAGGGCTCCCGGGTATGACCAGAGGTGTGTGACTGACGCAGGGAAACACAGACTTCAGATATGTTATAAACGATGTAATTTATTAACACTAACAATACAAACATAAATGCAGTGCAATACTAAAACATAACACAGTGCAAACAAACCAAACCAACCACCCACAGATGACAGTACATACAATGCAAGCGTCGTCAGGCAGGCCGGGTCAATATCAATCGGGCAGGTAGGTACAGGGGGAGCAAGCGGAGAATGGTCAGGGTCACAAGCCAGGTTCAGCAGGTAGCGGGCAGCGTGGTACAGAGGGTCAGGCAGAGGAGAATGGTCAGACAAGCCAGGGATCAGGAGCAGGAGAATGGTCAGACAAGCCAGGGATCAAAGCAGGGTCAGCAGAGAATCAGACAGGAACAGGAACAGGAAACAGGGCCCAGGAGAAACACAACACCAAGGCAGAGTCTGCAGGTCTGAATGTCCCTTAAATACACCAGTATAATTAGTTCCAGGTGTTTGACTGGCTGCAAGGTTGAGTCTCTGATTGCTGGGAGCACCCGCTGGCCAGCCCTGGTACTGCAGCTCATAAGGCAGGCGAGTCCCACTATTGCTGGCCAGTCCATTCCTGACAGTAGCATACCTGGGGGGATTACATCATTGCTGCATCCACATGTGTTCATGCCTAACAATTGGCCACTCAGGCCTGCACACTTTACAGGGGTAGGTCACATGCTTCCTCGTGCCCAGAAACCCAGCTTCATTAAAGCAAAAGATCCAAGGATTTGATGGAGCAACAAGGCAGTGAGGAAGTGAGGATGAGTGAGTATAACTTGGTGAGGAATGGGGATGAAAGGGCAGGTGACAGTGTCTGATAAGGTGGGGGAGTATGCAACCTCCTTTTGGCAATGGTGATTTCCCTATCAGAACAAAGAACGATGCTTCCTGATGGGTTGGAAGGATGGACATGTTTTGCTTTTTGCCTTACAAAGTAAAGGCCCAATTGTCCACAGTTTCACAAACATACATCAGTTTGCCCATAACAATGAAACACAGACCACCTTTATAAGGGTCTAGTAGGGGTAAGCAGTTAATACATGTATAAAGACACCCTACAATAACTATCTGTACAGCAACTCTTTAGATATACAAGTCACATATGTGTACTAGGTTTCCCAATGGAAAAACCACATCCTTCAGGATGGAAGCCATCAACATCAATCATAATCTACCAAAGAGCTGTACGTTTATTTTGTGAGCTAGATTTGTGCGGAAAAATAAGACAATCTTAAACGTTTGTGGCCTCTGACTAAAAATAACCAGTCTGGGAAAATAATGTCCCATTGTATGGTCCTTTTTTTTTTTACTTTGCAGCAAAAGTACAGTACTTTGGAGCTCACAAGAAAAAGTGTCAACTGCACAAAACTTGACACTGTGGGGATAATTTACTAAAGGCAAAGTATGGTTGTCAGCAGGGCATCACTTCATTTACTCAGCTAAGGGAAAAATCCCGTAACAAAGTATAAAGTAGAGTTTGTATTGTTTGGGTAGGTTAGTATATCTATGATGAGAGGTTTATGAGATTATACTTTGTCTTTATGTTCTGACTGTCTGGGGGTGCTGCCCTAGTTGCAGCTTCAGCCTGTGTGGTCCAGTGTGTTGATGCCAGTTTCCTGGCCCTTCCGTTCAGTGCAATATATGTGATTAAAGCTATATATTCCCATGAGAAAAAGGAATGTTATTATCTTTATTATTTGATGTTGCACTTTTTAGATACTCCTGTTTTCTGCCCCTGAAAGAAACGGTGGTTTAGGCTGCAAAATGCATTGGGATTGATTGGACATCTAGTGCCATTTTACATATGGAGAAAGTATGGACTCTTTTGAGAGTCAAAGTGCTGTATTAATTATTGCAAATATATCAAGTAGAGGGAGAACATGAAACAAAGTTTGTATGGTTTTAATGGTGAATTGTGATTAATACATTTTGTAAATTAATATGTTCTTAATTGTGTCTTTGCTGCTTATAACTGTACGATGTCTTTAAAGTCCCTTTTACCGATGCAACTTCTTGGTTCCTTATTCTTGGACGAAAGTATAAATTTCATTGCAAAGTGAACAGCATATTTGCCCTTAGTAACACAACCCAACATGTCTACTGGCAAGCAGCTTGAGCTGTCCCTTTAAAGCAGATATAATCCCTAACTGGATGACATTTAGTTTGCCAAAGCACTGTTTATCAAACACAATTACCATTTTTTTTTTCTTTTAGAAATACAGATTTCACCTTTTTTTAATTATCTCAGTGCATCTGATCTCCACCAGTCTTTTTCAGCCACTGCCTGTCTACATGCACCTTTTGAAGTACTTGTGACAAGGTGACAATGCACTAAGGCAACTGGACACATAGCAGAACATTGTTACCTTGTAACAAGAAGTTTCCTAAAAAAAAGATAGCAGTATTAACCGGGTATTTTCTAATGAAAGCTGCAGATTTAATAAGATAGAAAAAGGACTTTTGAAATGACATTAGGCTGTTAAAGCTGATTTGAGATTTTCATGGTTGGGATTACATCTGCTTTCATACCACAGAGCAACGTGCTGTACATCTTTGAACATCCTCGACCATTGCGCTCTAGTTTGTAACCTTGTGACCAGAACCCTCCTGGATAATTAACATCACACACACACACTCCCCAACTTACAGAGATGAATGCAAACGGTATTGAAATGCTGCTAGAGGTAAATGCTTTTCCTGCTCCACTGTCCAAGTGTCTGAATTGCAGTTTCAGCTGAGCACAGTCTGCTGGGACTTCAGCTGCCAGTTTAATTAGTGTTCAGTAATTTCAATAATGAGTGACAATTCATCGGGGCTTTTAGGATGGTCTTCTGTTCTGAAGCAAATCAATAATCCACACTTTTCCTCCTTCTTTTTTAAGACAAGAAAGTGGCATGTGAGTTACATCAGTGGAGGGGAAATAAATGAGAAACAGCATAAGTTAACACGGGAACTTGAGAGGGTAATTGGCAGCTTTAAAGTGAACCTGTTGTATGCAGCCAATGCTGGAAGTCTTTTTGTAGGACTAGCCATTATTCATGAGATGGCAGGAGGTCAATACGCTGGTAATCAGTGACACATTGGATCATGTTTAAGAACTCCTTTAATAAAGTACAGTATATTATCAGGATAAGCTATGGTTTTGATCAAGTCACTTGAGTTTAAAGAGGTTTTCAGAATAGGTTAAGAGCTAGATATCCTAATTTAGAAATGTATGAAGCAATAACAAATTAACAAGCAATGTTCCACTGGATCTTTCTAGATGTTCCAAATTACCATGCAGTCCACCCTTTTTTTTTTTGGCCTTGCTTCACTACAGTCTGGCACCAAGATCTCTGGGCTCTGTTTGTCCATGAGAATTTTGGACTAAGTACATTACTTCCATGTTATTGCCTCACCTTTAAGAATGAATGAAATTTGTAAGGTACCTTTATTTTCTGTTGTAAAGTACCCCCAATGTTTTTTCCACTGCTAAACTTAAAGTGGCTCCAAACCCATTAGTTTAATGGTTTCCCAAAAAGTTACATTCAAGGCGTGCCATGAATGATCGCGATTGCATGTCTTCTCAACTGAACTGCCAAGCCATTGAATGGCTGACGTCTTAACTGATCACATGTGCAGAACCATGGCAACTGCAG